GGAAATCACCCCCCCCCCAAATAATCCATTGCTTGGCTTTAAATATTAAATAATGCAGCAGCCAAGGGGTGTGCTTTCTCCTCCTTCCCTCTCCAGACAGTCAAATGTGTTCTCTTTTTTTTTCATTCTGTTTCTTTTGCTTTCTGTTTCATTCTTTTAATCTTTACTTGAGACTTTTTTAGGATTTGCATTATTTGTTAGTTACATTACAATGCAATATTCATCTCAATCTGCAGTGTCAAGACATTGGAGAGACTCTAGAAATGGTGCAAATTAATCCTTAGGGAATTAGCCATCAGATCCCCAGCAGATTATTTAGATTATTTTTTTCTCATCTATTTCCTTGTTATTTTGTTCTTTCTTCCTTCCATTTCCTCTGTGCACATTTGGGATCTCTCTTTCCTTTATTGGTCCTTTCCGGTTGTCTGGCCTCTCCTTCCATTCATCCCCTCTTGTTTCAATCCCACGATTTACTCCTCTTTTCCAATTCTCTCCTTTCCCCCTCTCCTCTCCTCCTGCTCTCACTTTGGGGAGGTGTTTTCCTTATGTTGGGCCTGGGGGTGGGGGGCTGCTGTTGTGTTGGCCAAACAACCAGTGCACAGTTTCCTTATGAGGCATGTAAAGAAGGCATGTTGCACTGCCCCAACACTGGCTATGTAGAATCTATACAACCCTTGCAAGGATAGTGTCTCCCTGGAGGAAGATGATGTGGGAATGGACTTTCCCAATGTGAAAGGTGGACTGGTGATCACGCCCCATATATGGCAACCAGATACTGGTTATCCATTGACTTATTACTAGATATTTTCCATGAGTTATCAAGTGACTGGACCTGCTCCCACTTAAGTCAATACCAAAACTCCATTGACTTCAGTTGGGTCAGGACTGAGGCCAAATTGTAAATCACTTGAGTATTATCCCTGTCCGCATTCTAACTGAATTTATTTTATGTTCTTTTTTCTCTTACATGCCTCAGCACAAAACCCAGGTGATTTACTTTTGCAAGATTTACTTTTGGTGGGTGTTATCAAACAATATCTTTCTTATTTATCTCATCTTCAAAAGCGTTTACATGGCATCCATCACTGGTGTCCAGGTACCTGTAGCAGTGATGTTTTTTCTGGTTTATTATATTCATATACTTGCCTGTCTCTAGGCGGTGATTAATCCTCTGTCCTACTTTTTCTGGATAAGGCAGCTCAAAATCAGTCCTTTTTACAGTGATGAGCAACAAGGAAACTGCAGAAAACAGAAATGAAACTGGAGGTCAAAACAGAAGTCTCAGGGATTGGGACAGGCAATGAGCAAGAACTTCTATGGAGTGCTTTTGAGCGAGGAAGTAAAGCACTACAGGGGGCAGTGGTGAAATAGGACAAAACAGGTAAAACAGGCCTGATCAGACACTCAGATCTCAGTTATTTTTTTCATTCTCTTTTTTATTTTCTTTCGCTTTCTGTTTTATTCTTTCAATCTTTTACAGGTCTGTCGCATCTTAGACACATTTAACATGTGTGATTTCAGCTTTATGCGGTCGGCAAAAACAAACAAAAAAAACAACAACAACAACAAAAGAGAAAAATAACAATTTAAATACTGTTTCTGTAGTGCGGGCGATTCCACCCGTCATTACACTCAATGTAACTTTGACTATACGCGATTTTCGCTTTAGGCACTGACTGCGGAACGTAACCCCAGCGTAAGATGAGACAGACCTGTACTTGCTCAAGTGACACAGAAGCATTAAAAAAAATTAAATACAAGGTACTTAATTAATTTAATTAGATGCAAGCTACTTCTTTGGCCCTGATGGAATGGCAATGCCAGAGCATAGCACTGCGTCCCCCGCTGGGGACAGAGAGTGGAGCATCACCCCTTTACTGATGTTTCCTGCTACACGCTCTTCCAAATTGATGTACTCGGGCAGCCCTGAAAGTGCATTTTGCACGTGCAGCAGCTGAGCATGGACATGTTTAATTTTATTTCACTGCATTTCATTGCCCCTAGGTACTAGACATTTGAACCTTAACTGTGCTTGCTTTTGTAAATTAAGGTCACAAACTTACTATTTCTGAACTATCATTTTTTCCTTGAGGAGTGTTTTTCTGGTGGTGTTCAACTCCTGTCAGTGTTTCGAGTGGTTTCCAGAAATATGCTATAATAATAATAGGCCTAATTGTAGAAGCTTGTTGATTCACGATGCAGAGCAGAGGTGAAAAAAAGTGCTCCCTTTCAGCTTCTTCAAAAGGTTCTTTTTCCGTGATAGGGACTGAAAGCGCTAGTCAAATGCACTGTCAGCTGGAGTGGTGTGGAGCAGAGTTGACATTTTTGTTTAAAAAAAATGGTTTAATTAATTTTGAATGCCAAAAAGACACTATAGGGTGATCAGCAAAATGCTGACTATGCTAAACGTCTTTCATAACAAAGACTACAAACACTGCAGATCTGCTTTCAATAGCAGTTACAAGGCCCCCTGCTTTCAATAGTTAATACCAAGGCCCCTCTCTCACCGAGGCTTAGCAGTAACAATCAAAATCCTATGCTTAGAATGTTGACACGCTGAGCACATTTCGAAAACCCCACATCTGTGTTCTCTATGGATGTTCTATTCTGTGTATCTCATACCCCTAGTCCAATCTAAAGTGTAGCATTTAGAAACACTGAGCTAATTACTGCTTTTGTCGCCTCTCCTGAAAAGTTGTTTGCAAGACCCATAGTGGCAATTTTGGTAATGCATGAGCTCCTAGACTCAGCAACTAAAACAAAAAGAAACTGGGATAGGGTGTAGTCCCTAAAGGGTCCATCAGCAAAGCCTTGGAAGGAAACTGAAAATGCAGATGATTAGGAATAAAATGGAATTCCAGAGAGAGATAAAAAAGAGATGCCATGAGGAAAAGTTAATATGCTGAGGATGTTGAATCCCAAATCTAATGGTATTATAGGGAAGGTGGAGGCAGAGGTGAACAGATCAGTTGAAAAAACTTTGAAAAATGAATACAATCTGGAACACTGTATTCCCAAAAGAAACATAACTTTCTTCTTCCCCTTCATCAAACTGGGAGCAGATGCACACGTAGGATCGCAGGCAGCAATCTGGAGACTTGCTCCAACCAACAGAGAAGTTACAGGGCATCTCTCTGCCTGTTTGGTATTATTACTCCAGGATTATGGAATCCGGGCCTGAAAAAGAATGACAAAGTGGGTGAGTTGTCTCTAAATCCCGGGACCAGCTCGGCTACAACTACCCTGCATGCCACACTGAAAAAGAATAGCAATGCTAACTTGATATCTAGTCTATTGATCCAGGCTCCTGAGATCCATTCATATTTCAGTCCTTTGCACTGATAAAAGGCTGACTGTTCTTAAGACACGACACTGCAAGTTGGGTCGCCTGTCTAGATCATTAAGAGTTGGCAGAGGTGGCCTGATACTGTGCAGCATCCTACCTAAGAGCAAGGCCCTAAGCCAGGGGGGCACGTGGAGTTGCCTCCTTTCAGGTCCTGATGCTGGAGAACAAGTTGGGTGCTAAATTTACTCACAGTGGCTTATGAGTAAGGCTGCGAGTCTGTCTCGGATTCCGTGACTTCCTGGGACCTCTGTGTCTTCTGCAGCTGGCAAGTACGACTGACCCCAGGGCCGCTGGAGCAGAGGTGGCCCCTGGGTCAGCCGCACTGCCCCCACAACAGCGGCGGTCCTGGGCCAGCCCCCCGCCAGCAGCAGTGCATCAGTCCTAACCTGGCAAGGCTGCCCCCCACCAGCAGCAGCGGCGGTCCCAAGCAGCCCCCCGCCAGTACTGGCGGCTGCCATGGTCCCAGGCCGGCAGGGCCATCCCTCCAGCAGGCACACCAGTGGGCACCCCGGAGGCCCCACCAACAGGCGCACCAGCAGAGACTCCCACCCAAGAGCAGCAGCTGCACACCCGGAACCCCCCAAAACACCAAAGATTTAGTCAGGGCTATATAGGAGAAGTCATGGACAGGTCACATGGCCGTGAATTTTTGTTTATTGCCCCTGACCTGTCCATGACTTTTACTAAAAATGCCCATGGCTAAATCTTATCCTTATGAGTTTGAGTCCGTGCAAGACTGTGAATTCCCTGTGCAGCCCCAGAAACAAGCACTTTGTGCCTGTTGTTGGAGGAATCATTGCTGTACTGTTTATACATAGATTCTTGAATGGCAGATCAATAACAGAAGAAGCTGTTCCTTGTATTGATCTACTCCTGCCTCGCAGCCAGTGGCCCAGGCAGAATTTTGCCTGCCCTAGCCAATGGGATTTTCAACTGTATCTACTCAGCAGAGTGGATCTAGTTTTCTCTGGGATTAAAGAAGACCATACAAAATATAATACAATATATATACAAAGGGGTGCAAGAGGAGGGAGGGGAGAAAAGGGGATTGAGAGTGCTTATGACCTGGATAATGAAATACACATAGAAGTGGGTGGGTGGGCATGGGAAGAGGTTTTATATATCTGTTGCAGAACTAGCAAAATTCTGCTTGCACATAGTCAATAATTTTTTGATTTGATGGACAAGTGAGATATGTTTTTCCCCACCATTATTATCCTGGTAAAGGGTAGCCAAGAGTTTTGGAACCAGAGCTAATGAAATTCCAGGACATTTTTGCAAGGCTTCTATATGTACTGCATTTTCTATCCACAGTGACTAATTAATTTTTTAATAGGCAAGTGGAATATTCTTCCCTCTCACCTCCTCCTCCCAAAAAAAGTATTGTCAGGATAACGGGGGGACAAGTATATTTCGAAGATAGGTGAGTGAATTTTCAGGGCATTTGTGAAAAGCTTCTATATATTGGACACATTTTGGTCAGTGTATATGGAAAACAAAAACCGGAGAATCAGTCACTCTCTTTTAAATTAAGTACAGGACAGTGAGTGCTTTTGTTATCACCTGCATTGGTGGTTCAGTGGTAGAATTCTCGCCTGCCACGCGGGAGGCCCGGGTTCGATTCCCGGCCAATGCAAGTATCGCTTTTTGCCCCTGCTTCTCCCAGAGTAACTTGGATCCAATACTTTTGCCTCTGCGGGTCTCTCAGGCGATGGGGCTGGGCCCCCGCCGAGGACCACAACAGTACAAGGGCCCCAGGGCTGCGCGCTCTGAGTCAGGCGGCCCCAGCGCCGAGCTCCGCCAGGAGGCCCCAGTGCGCGGCTCCGCGGGGCCTAGAGCTCTAAGGACGGGGGCGGTCTCGGCGTGCGGCTCCGCCGGCGGGCAGGAGGCGGCGGGTGGACGAGATGGAAGTGTAAGGAGCCTCGGCGCGCGTGTAGGCCGCTCCCCGGCGCCGCGTGGGCGCGGCTGAGGGACCCCCTCCCTCCCCCCGCCGGCCGAGCACCCACCGAAAGGGGACCCCCTCCTGGGGTGTCTGGCTGGAGGGGGAACTGGGGGAGCCCCTCTTGGGGGGGGTCTGGCTGGAGGGGGAACTGAGGGAGCCTCTCCCTCCTCCCGCCGGCCGAGCACCCACCGAAAGGGGACCCCCTCCTGGGGGGGGTCTGGCTGGAAGGGAAGGGGAGCCCCTCTTAGGGGTGGCGTCTGCCTGCGGGGGGAATTGGGGGGAGGGGAGCCCCGCTGGGGGGGGGGCGTCTGGCTGGTGGGGGAGCTGGGGGGAGGGGAGCCCCAAGTTGGGGGGGTCTGGCT